AATCCACATAGATGACTAGATGGGGGCTGTGCTGAAGAATGCTGCCTTTGAAATACTGGCGGCCCCAGTGTCTAAAGACTTGTATTTTAGCTTTTTAAAACATCCACTTAATGTGGCAGTCTGAACCCTTTTCCACAGCTGAGCTCGGATGTCCATGCTGTGAAAAACTATCGGACAGACTGGGCCCTCCTTAACCATCTATCTTCCTTCTAATCTATGTAAATTTCTCCACTGGATATCTTAGGTAAAATACAGTAATAATTTATTGTATATAGTTTCTATTAAATGTTAAAGCGTGAATAAAAAATACAGAAATAGGAAGTAGGGTGAAGTTCTAATAATTCCCTAAATTATATATTCCATGGTTTCAAAATTATTTCAATACATATGCTAATTTGTCTCATTTATACTGCTAGTTCCTCTTAGTTCACAGAAAGGTAAGTTTTGTGCTATTATCTGTTTCTTTTTTGTAAGAGTCTTTTTTGTCTATGACCTGTACTCCAACATGTTGGCCATTCTTTGAAGATTATAGTGTACAGTGTGTTAACTAATGTTATTCTTTAGTTATGAAATTGTACTTTATATTTTCATAGACTTTAAAAAATATTTCTTTATTGATATCTACTCATAATACATTGAAATAAAGTTTTTCAAATACAAAGACTGCTCTTCCCATCACAAGCCCAGGACTCTAGTATTGCAAAATGGCTTCTCAGAACAGGCCAGGGACACCCTCCATGGGCTTGCTGCCTGACACCGCCTCAGTCCTCTGCTCTCTGTATTTCTGTGCTGTCCCTCTCAAGCCACTGAAGATGAGCCCCAGGTATAGCTGAGGCCACTGCTCCAGAAGGCACACCCAGGAAGTCTTGTTGGCAGCCACATGGTGTTTACTATGCAGGCTTCCAGGATGCAAGAGCTGGCAGAGCATGGCTCCCTCAATTTAGATGTTAAAGGGTGTCTCAGATACCCTGGACTCCGGGCCAGAACCTACCCCAGAGAGTCACTTCAGGTAGTGCCTAGAGGAGCTGTGGGAATAAGGGAACTCCAAAGACCCCAGAAGTGTACAATACCAACCTGGGAGGGCTGGAGGTCTGAGTCTCCAACCCCAGAGAGCTGAAGCATGAAGAGTCATAAAGTTCCCCATATTGGGAGAGTCAGAAAGTTCAATGTCTCAACCATCTTGAGAGATGAGAGTTTCTAGCAGTCCATTCTTTACAAGAATTTATAGTGATTTTCTAGGCATGATGGCACACATCTGAAATTCCAACACTTCGGAGGCTGAGGCAGGAGCGTTGCTGGATGAGACCCTGTGTCAAAAAAAAAAAAAAAGAATTTATAATGATTCATAGAATTATCAATTTTTATTGATTCATATTGCCTGAAAGTCATCCTGGTTTGAGATAGGATAAATGAAATAAAGACAATTAGAAAGGAAACTCAAATTTTTTGTATTCCCTTTACCTTGAAACACTGGGTCAGATCCTACTCAGCTCTACACAAAGGAAGGTTTCATAAAAGAAGGTTTCTTAGGTCTAAATTTACCTACTCTCTCTCAGCCCCTTCATGACTGAGGGTACCACAATAAGACTAATTTTCAAGGCTTGCAGGGACAATCAATTTCCAGTTTTTATAACATCCAGTTCCAGGCACCCCTGGAGTGATGCCGAGGAGTCTCCAAACATACAGTCACCTGGGTTCCAGAAAAGCAGAGCCTTAGCCTTGCAGCCCATCTCTTGGTGAGATCACCCACCCCCAGGAAAATCAAGTCCTCCCCATGGAAACTAAGGCTCTTCCTCCCCTCCCAAGTAAGAACAATCACCTACATCATGGGAAATGAATTGTTCCTCAAGTCTATGGATTCCTTCAGTGCAAGGGAAAATGGAACTGAGATAATGGCTCACCTCATTTTAAGCCCAAAGCCATCCTCTTACATTTGTGAGCAGCCCATTCTGAGCCTGTGCTGGTTAAGCTCAATTATGTCAGCTTGATGGGCTGGGGAGCCCCTGAGGGGATGAGTAAAGCACACTTCCGGTGTGTCTGGGTGGGCCGTGGAGGACACAGTCTGGTTCCTTCCTCTCTGGTGCTATTCCTCTGCTCTGCCTCTCGGGAAGCAAATCTCTCTTCCTTTCAATTGTGGGTTTGGGTGTTGTGCTCCCAAGGTGGGAAAGCTGACCAGTGCAGAAACTGGCAGCAGAATGAGTCCCACAGGTACTCCACCTGGAGTCTTCTCCTGTCTGCCTCGCTCTCCAACTCTGCCCAATAAACCCTTCCGTGCTTCACATTGACATTGTCTGGAATTGTTTTTCCCTGCCGAGTAAGAACCTACTTAATGGGCCAAATTGTGATCATCATCACCATGACCTTTTTCTGGTCAGTAAATTCAAGGGTTGGGGCTAGGAGGGTCTGTGACATCACTCAGCCCCAACATTCTGAACTCTCCAACTGCCCAATAAACCCTTCCGTGCTTCACATTGACATTGTCTGGAATTGTTTTTCCCTGCCGAGTAAGAACCTACTTAATGGGCCAAATTGTGATCATCATCACCATGACCTTTTTCTGGTCAGTAAATTCAAAAGGG